GTCCATCTCCCGCATCTACTTGGCCAAGGACAAAACCACCGGCCAGTCCAAGGTGAGGATGGACTGGTTGCAAACCGGGGGAGGGTCAGGCTGGGGAAAAGACCAAGGGCGAGCCAAGCTTCTTCCGTCGTTCCTGTTGCTTCTTACATGGGCACAAGAAGCTGCCTTCTACTGAATCAAACCCTTGGTCTATCAAAGTAAGCATTGGGTGCTTAGACTGACAGCGGCTCTCTAGGGCCTAAAGCAGAGGGAGGTCTTTCCCATCACCTCCTGCCTGGTCCTTTTAACTGGAGATGCCGGGGACTGAACCTGGGACCTTCTGCATGCAAAGCAGAGGCTCTGCCACTGAGCCACAGCCCGTCTATAGCTCTCCATGGTCTCAGGCAGAAGTCTTTGACATCCCCTACTGCCTGGTCCTTTTAACTGAAGAAGTTAGGGATTACATAAGAACATAGGAAACGCCAACTTTGGATCAGGCCAAAGGCCCATCCAGTCCAACACTCTGTCACACAGCGGCCAAAAATACCAGGTGCCATCAGGAGGTCCAACAGTGGGGCCAGGACACTAGAAGCCCTCCCACTGTGCCCCCCCTCCAAGCACCAAGAATACGGAGCATCACTTGCCCCAGACTGAGAGTCTCTATCTATACCTTGTGGCTAATAGCCACTGATGGACCTCTGCTCCATATGCTTATCTAATTCCCTTTTGAAGCCATCCATGCTTGTAGCCGCCGCCTCCTCCTGTGGCAGTGAATTCCAAGTGTTAATCACTCTTTGAGTGAAGAAGGACTTCCTTTTATCCGTTTTAACCCGACCACTCTGCCTTTTCATGGAGTGCCCACGAGTTCTTGTATTGTGAGAAAGGGAGAAAAGTACCTCTTTCTCTACCTGCTCTTTCCCACGCATAATCTTATAAGCCTCGATCATGTCACCCCTCAGCCGTCGTTTCTCCAAGCTAAAGAGCCCCGAGCACTTCAACCTTTCTTCATAGGGAAAGTGTTCCAACCCTTTTATCATTCTAGTTGCCCTTGATTGAACCTGGCACCTTCTGCGTGCCAAGCAGAGGCTCTGCCACTGAGCCAGGGTCTCAGGTCAAGGTCTTTCCTATCACCTCCTGCCTGGTCCTTTCAACTGGAGATGCTGGGGATTGAACCTGGGACCTTCTGCATGCCAAGCGGAGGCTCTGCCACTGAGCCAGGGTCTCGGGTCAAGGTCTTTCCCATTATCTCCTGCCTGGTCTTTTTAACTGGAGATGCCAGGGATTGAACCTGGGACCTTCTGCATGCCAAGCGGAGGCTCTGCCACTGAGCCACAGCCCCTCTTTATAGCTCTCTGTGGTCTCAGGCAGAAGTCTTTCACATCCCCTCCTGACCGGTCCTTTTAACTGGAGAAGTTAGGGATTGAACCGGGGACCTTCTGCACGCCAAGCAGAGGCTCCTCCACCGACCCACATCCCCTCCCTCACCCTCCTGCTCTCTCCCGTTCCAGGGCTTTGCCTTCATCAGCTTCCACCGCCGCGAGGATGCTGCCAGGGCTATTGCTGGAGTGTCTGGTTTTGGCTACGATCACCTGATCCTAAATGTGGAATGGGCCAAGTAAGTGGGGCCAGGGGCGGGAGCTGGGAGGAGCACCCAGAGGATATCGGGGGCCCGATTCCAGACACAGGACGCCTCTGAAAGAAACTAGCTTTGCAACAGCAGGGGATCGTTTCATGCACACCGAAAGCGAGCGTGTCAGGAAGGAAGCTAGGCCAAGCGCCATTTCTGTTGAGAATGTCAGTCGGAAATGGTACAATCAAAACAGAAATTTACCGGCTCAGTGAGACCGAAGCTTCAGTTCTGTGCTTCTACCACTGTGAAATTTTCTAGGAACTCCGGTGGGGGTAGGAAGGAGCCTCCGACTGCCTGCCCCCGCTCCAGGATTGTGACTAAGGTCAAGGCACCCTGGTTAAATATCTCTGCCAGGGTTCCCCAGCCCGGGGCCCATGGGCGCTGGCACCCGTCAAGTGTTTTTAGAAAGTGGGTGGGGCTCCTGCCCAGCAAGACTTCTGATTGGCCATTGGAGATCTCATTGGGTGTGCGGGTTAAAATAACGTTGCTTTGGTGGCAGCTGCCAGTACAGTGTGGGTTATTCTTTTCTCTCTCCTCTATCCCAGTGTATTTTTTTTAAATGTACCCTTTGGGCTTCTGCTTGTGTGGGTGGGTGGCTCCGTTTCCCACGGGGGACATTTTGGGGTTGCTCCCGTGATCCTGTGTCAAACTTCCAAAGGTGCCCACAGGCTCAGAAAGGTTGGGGAACACCTGATCTCTACTTTGGAGCAGGTGGGGCAGACTTTCTCCGTGCCGGTGACTTCGATGGATACCCTGGACTGCCAGTAAGACAAATCAGCGGCTTCTAGATCATATCAACCCTGAACGCTCCCTAGGACAGAGGCGTCAAACTCATTTGTTACGGGGCCGGATCTGTCATAAATGTCAATTTGTCGGGCCGGGCCGTGCGTGCCATAAAACGTAATGTCAGGTACCGCAAATAGAAACTGTATAAAGGACAGCAGCTGGTAAGTTCTGAGTTGATGTATCTTCACTGCAAACCCCCATGGGCTGGGAGTGGGTACAGAGGAAAAACCCCATAGGCAGACTGGAGAGCCAGCAGTGCAGCGTGGGGCAGATGCTCCCACGGTACTTGACAGCTGCAGATGAGGTTGTCCTGCCGTACTGAAGCCACAATTGAGTGACTCCGCCCCTTCCCCCCCCAGCACTCCCTCCCTTGCATCAGTTGCTCGCGGGCAGCATACGAGCCCTGGACGGGCCAGTTCCAGCCCCCGGGCCTTATGTTTGACACCCCTGCCCTAGAAGCTAAAATGACCAAATTGAGGCTTTTATCGAACTTTGGTCACATTCTGAGAAGGCAGGAGTCGCTGGGAGAGACAATCATGTTTGGGAAAGCGGGAGGCGGCAGGAAAAGAGGAAGCCCCGACAGGAGATGGAGCGACGCCATCCGGGAAGCCACAAAGGCCCTCTGCTGGCAGGACCCGAGCAAGGCTGTCCGCGAGAGGACGTTTCGGATGAATTCATAGAACAAAGTTTGAGTCCAGCGCAAGGCTCCCTCTAAGCTGTGGCGTCTCGTGAGCAAAAATCCTGCTTCGTGAGCGACTGGCATGAAAGCTGTGAGCGGACGATTGGGCTGCTGCAGAAATCAGTCTGCTCTGGGGACGTCCCTTCCTGAGCCGAGACCAAGACGTGTGAGCCGGAGGCTAAAAAACTGTGAGCTGGCTCACACTCACTCAGCTTAGAGGGAACACTGGCCCAGTGGCACCTTTAAGACCAACAAAATTTAATTCTGGGCATAAGATTCACTGAAACAGACTTCCTCAAGGCTTAGATACACCGTGTTTCCCCGAAAATAAGACACTGTCTTATATTTATTTTTTCTCAAGAAGACACACTAGGGCTTATACCACAAATGCATAGAAATCCTGCTAGGGCTTATTTTTTGGGTAGGGCTTATTTTGGGGGAAACAGGGTAGGTAGAGAGAGGGTGGGAGGGTTACGTGCCGGGAAGGGCTAATCAGAGTCAAGATGCATCATTGACTTGAGTGGTGAGTCTAGCTGAGATTGGATTGAAGCAGTTGGTGAGCCTTGTGGAATAGCAGCAGTTTAGCATACAAATAAAAGAGTGAACAGATGTGAGAACTGAGTTTGGGAGTCCAGTGGCACCTTTAGGTCCAGCAAAGTTTAATTCTGGGTATAAGTGAGAACTGAGAGACCGAGCATGTGTAGATGCCCACTTCTTCAGGTGCCTTAAAACAGACTCTCTCGGGCATTTCATAGGCCCTCTCTCTAGCTATATGTAAGGCTTGAGGAAGTCTGTTTCAGTGTATCTGAAGAAGTGTGCCTGAACATGAAGGCTTATTCCGAGAATTAAACTTTGTTGGTCTTAAGAACATAAGAGACGCCACTGTTGGATCAGGCCAAAGGCCCATCCAGTCCAACACTCTGTATCACATAGTGGCCAGAAAAACCAGGTGCCATCGGGAGGTCCACCAGTGGGGCCAGGACATTAGAAGCCCTCCCACTGTTGCCCCCCCCCCCCAAGCACCAAGAAGACAGAGCATCACTTGCCCCAGAGTCCCTATCTATACCTTGTGGCTAATAGCCACTGATGGACCTCTGCTGCCGGACTCAGACTTTATTCAATTGCTTCAGACGAACATGGCCTACGCACCTGAATCTATTAACTCATAGAGTCACCGTTAGTCAGAAGCAGTGTTCCCTCTGAGCTGAGTCAGTATGAGCCAGCTCACAGTACTTTAGGCTCCGGCTCACACATTTGTTGTCCTAGCTCAGGAAGGGACGGCCCCAGAGCAAACGAATTTATGCAGCAGCCAAATCGCTCGCTCACCACTTCAATGCCAGTATCTCACAAAGTAGGATTTTTGCTCACAAGACTCCGCAGCTTAGAGGAAGCATTGGACAGAAGCCATTAGATGGCACATAACACTCACGTAACTGTTCCGGGTGCTGCTCATAAAGTACAGTGGCGGGCAGCTCTTTGGTGGTGGGATCCTGATAAACGCCTGGCACGGCTGGCTTGAGAAGAGAGGCAGGCTCGAGTCTCTGAAGGAAAACAGGCTATAAGTAAAATAGAGTTCAGGGCAATGGAAGTTAACATACAGTTAAGTCCCGTTCCTAGGAATGTAGCAGAAGTTCCGCCCACTTCCAGCTCTTATCACCAATCCCGAGGCTTGGAAGGCCGCTTTGCTGTCTTCAGTGGTGATTCTCTAGGCCGGGGGTGTCACTCATAAGGCCCGGGGGCCAGAACTGGCCCGTCCAGGGTTCTTATGCGGCCCGTGAGCAACTGGTGCTGGGGAGGGGAGTGGGTGGAGCCACTCCATTGTGGCTTCAGCACGGCAGAACAGCCCCGTCTGCAGCAGTCAAGAAGCGTGGTAGCGTCTCTCCAAGCGCTGCTGCCTCTCCAGTCCACCTGTGTGGGTTTTCCTCTGCAGCCCCCTCCCACCCCAGGGGGCCTTGCCGTGGGGTTACACCAACTCAGAGCTTACCAGCTGCTGCCCTTTATACAGTTTCTGTCTCCGGTACCTGGCATTACGTTTTATGGCACACATGGCCTGGCCCGACAAAGTGACATTTATGCCAGATCTGGCCCTCGTAACAAATGAGTTCGACACCTCTTCTCTAGGTTTTGTCCCAAATCCCACGTCGATTGCCGGATCTCTCTGCCCGCCCGGATGCCTAACGGTCGTCTTCTTTCCCCCCCAGGCCTTCCACCAACTGAGACCTGCCGCCTTGCAGCGTTTCTCGGCCACGGCCTCCTTCCCCTCTGACGGGAGGCGTCGGTCGGTAATAAAGGTTCAGTTCACTCTCTCCTGTGGTGTGTGTCTCCTTCTGTTGCGGCAGGCTTGTCACTGGAGCGAGTTGCCCAGCGTGGCACTTCGGAGGTGGCCCGCTTGGCTTTTCCTTGGGGAATTTTTAACCCAGTCCTCTTGGACTGTTTTGTGTGTGTGGTCTATGATATCGTTAAAGAAATATTAGGAATTGGAGTGTTAGCTGACGTCCGTCGCAGAGAGAGTTCCAAATCGGGTTTACTTAGTTCGGTGTTGAAGAAGAAAAGATTGGATTTATACCCCTGCCCTTCACTACCCAAAGGAGTCTCAGAGCGGCTTACAAACTCCTTTCCCTTCCCCTCCCCACCACAGACACCCTGTGAGGTAAAAGAAGAAGAAGAAGAGATTGGATTTATACCCCACCCTTCACTACCCAAAGGAGTCTCAGAGCGGCTTACAAACTCCTTTCCCTTCCCCTCCCCACAACAGACACCCTGTGAGGTAAAAGAAGAATAAGAAGAGATTGGATTTATACCCCGCCCTTCACTACCCAAAGGAGTCTCAGAGCAGCTCACAAACTCCTTTCCCTTCCCCTCCCCACAACAGACACCCTGTGAGGTAATAGAAGAAGAAGAAGAGATTGGATTTATACCCCACCCTTCACTACCCAAAGGAGTCTCAGAGCGGCTTACAAACTCCTTTCCCTCCCCCTCCCCACAACAGACACCCTGTGAGGTAAAAGAAGAAGAAGAAGGATTGGATTTATACCCCACCCTTCACTACCCAAAGGAGTCTCAGAGCGGCTCACAAACTCCTTTCCCTTCCCCTCCCCACCACAGACACCCTGTGAGGTAATAGAAGAAGAAGAAGAGATTGGATTTATACCCTGTCCTTCACTACCCAAAGGAGTCTCAGAGCAGCTCACAAACTCCTTTCCCTTCCCCTCCCCACAACAGACACCCTGTGAGGTAATAGAAGAAGAAGAAGAGATTGGATTTATACCCTGTCCTTCACTACCCAAAGGAGTCTCAGAGCGGCTCACAAACTCCTTTCCCTTCCCCTCCCCACAACTGACACCCTGTGAGGTAGGTGGGGCTGAGAGAGCTCTTTTGAGAACTCTTTTTCAAGAACAGCTCTGACAGAACTATGGCTTGCCCAAGGTCACCCAGCAGGTGCAAGTGGAGGAGTGAGGAATCAAACCCGGTTCTCCCAAATTAGCGTCCGCGCACTTAACCACTCCGCCAAACTGGCTGGTTCACAGCTGGTTTCTCAGTGTCAGACTTTCTTGTCAGTAATGCAGCTCAAGGTACAGTGATGTTCAGGCAACCACCCGTGCAAATGGTGGGATGAGCTATAGACATCCTGGGTTCCAGTCTTACGATGCCGGTGTGCAGTTCTTCTGGATCAAAAAGACCCAGGTGCGTAAGAGAAGTGGTAGGAACCAGGATGGTTCCTGTGCTAATTAATCAATTACCATATGGCAGAGTGTGTAGAATAGCCAGAAGATCCTAAGATTGTCTGGCAGTTTGAAGTTCTAGCTCTTTCACTGTTACGCACCACTAGGTGGCGAGCTAGACTTGTTTTTTTAAGGCAAGAGTCGTTTCAGAGGTGGTTTGCCATTTCCCGCCTCTGTGTCACGACCCTGGTATTCCTTGGAGGTCGCACTTCCAAATACCAGCCAAGGCCGACCCTGCTTAGGTGACAAGATCAAGCTACCCTGGGCTATCCAAGTCAGGGCATTTCTGTGCTGCTGGTGACCTAATTTTTTAAATTTTATTTATTTATTTTGGGATTTGTACCCCGCCCTATCCGGTAGCTCAGGTGGATGTGTCTCACAAGAGGCCAAGACTATAAAAACTAGAACCTATAAAGCTGCCTTCTACCAAATCAGATCCTTGGTCCATCAAGATCAGTATTGTCTACTCAGACAGGCAGCCGCTCTCCAGGGTCTCCGGCAGAGGTCTTTCACCTCACCTCCTGCCTGGTCCTTTTTAACTGGAGATGTTGGGGATTGAACCTGGGACCTTCTGCATGCTGAGCAGAGGCTCTGCCACTGAGCCAGGGTCTCAGGTCAAGGTCTTTCCCTTCACCTCCCTGCCCTGTCGTTGGCCTCTTTGCCCTGTTGCTGGCCCTCCAAAGGAACTGGTTGGCTCCTGTGTGAGACGGGAGGCTGGACTAGATGGACCCTCCCTGGTCTGACCCAGCAGGGCTCTTCTGATGTTCTTATCAGGGGAAGGCCTCGGCCTCTCTGCCCTGTGGTTGGCCCTCCAGAGGAACTGGCTGGCCACTTTGTGAGACGGGATGGTGGACTAGAGGGACCCTCCCTGATCTGACCCAGCAGGGCTCTTCTGGTGTCCTTATCAGGGGAAGGCCTCGGCCTCTCTGCCCTGTTGCTGCCCCTCCAGAGGAACTGGCTGGCCACTTTGTGAGACAGGGTGCTGGACTGGATGGACCCTCACTGGTCTGACCCAGCAGGGCTCTTCTGAGGTTCTTACGACCCTGGGACCTTCTGTATGCCAAGCAGGCGCTCTACCACTGAGCCAGGTCCCTCTCCCCACACTTGAAGCTGTCTCATACAGAACCAGACCATCAGTCCATCAAGGTCAGTATCGTCTACGCAGACCGGCGGTGGTTCTCCTGGATCTCGGGCAAAAGGTCTTTCACACCATCTACTACCTGGCTTTTTTCCCTGGACAAAGGTAACAGGAAAGACCCATTTCCACGGCAACTGTGGCTACGCAAGGGGACTCCCTTCAGCCCGGAAGACACAACCCGTACCGCAGGACTGCCTAAACGGATAGGCGCTAATACAGTCTGGACAGTTGATGGCAGACTTCACATTTTCAGGAAATGATGTCTTGCCACTGTGTGGAACTTGTCCAACTGGCCCAGGGGGCACTAGACTTTAAAGAGGCGTCCCACCGCCTCTCCAGCCACCTTCCTCCCAGAAATCAGAGCCCCGTTCTTTTTATTTGTTTGTTTAAAACATTTATTAGCCGCCTTTCTTCCTTACGGCGCTCCAGGCGGCTTACAACCAGGGTTCCCCCGTAAGCTGAGTTCATCTGATTTTGCTCAACGTTTTTTAGCCTCCGGCTCACACGTTTTCGTCCGAGCTCAGAAAGGGAGGGCTCCAGAGCAAACTGATGGATGCAGCAGCCCAATCGCTCGCTCGCCGCTTTCACACCAGCACCTCGCAAAGTAGAATTTCTGCTCACAAGACCCTGCAGCTTAGAGGGAGCACTGCTCACAACCAAGATTAAGATAACACAAAGTACAAACATAAAACCCAAAATTTAATAATCGCAATTCAGGTCTGCCAGTAGACTTCACCAAACGCGATGATAAACAAAGCCGCCTTCAACTGCCTCCTGAACATCACAAGTGAGGGTCCACAGTGTTCCCTCTGAGCTGAGTGAGTGTGAGCTAGCTCACAGTTTTTTAGCCTCCGGCTCACACATCTTTGCCTTCGCTCAGGAAGGAGGGCTCCAGAGCAAACGGATTTATGCAGCAGCCAAATCGCTCGCTCACCACTTTAATTCCAGGAGCTCACAAAGTAGAATTTTTGCTCACAAGACTCCGCAGCTTAGAGGAAGCATTGGACAGAAGCCATTAGATGGCGCATAACGCTCACGTAACTGTTCCGGGTGCTGCTCATAAAGCAGGGCTCCAGAGCAAACGGGTTTATGCAGCAGCCAAATCGCTCGCTCACAACTTTAATGCCGCTGGCTCAGAAAGTAGAATTTTTTGCTCACAAGACTTCACAGCTTAGAGGGAGCATTGGTGAGGGATCCAGGTGCACCTCCCTGGGGAGCCTGTTCTGTAATCGTGGGGCTGCCCCTGAAGAGGCCCTGTCTCATATACTCACAAAACAAGCTTCCTTGATAGCTGGGACAGTCGGGAGGGGCCCACTGCCTGTGATCTGCATCCCCAGGCAGGAATTAGCACCATCACCCAATGTGGGTTGAGAGGCCCAGTTTAGCGCCCCCCCTCCCCCCACAGTACCAGCTCTGCCCTCTTCCTGTGACAAGTAACGTCTAGCCCTCTAACTCTAGCAGATTTGGATTTCGTCCATTGTGGCTCAGAGGAGGAAGTCTGGAGAAAATGGGCAGGAGTTGGGGAAATGGTTAACAGCTCCCTCCCTGCCGCTTCCTGGTGATGCCACGCGACCGTGAGGAATGTGGGACTTGCCCAACTGACCGGGTGCCAGGTTGCACCCGGGGACTGAACCAGGGGCTTTCTGTATGCAAAGCAGATGCTTTGTCACTGATCCACGGCCCCTCAAAAGAAGTTACCTTTGTACGAAGTTGCATGTATATGAATATATGGCGTTTCCTTCTACGGAATCAGACCCTTGGTCCATCAAAGTCATTGTCTACTCAGACTGGCATCAGCTCTCCAGGGTCTCAGGTCAAGGTCTTTCCCATCACCTCCTGCCTGGTCCTTTTAACTGGAGATGCTGGAGATTGAGCCTGGGACCTTCTGCATTCTGGGCAGATGTTCTACTACTGAGCCAGGGTCTCAGGTCAAGGTCTTTCCCATCACCTCCTGCCTGGTCCTTTTAACTGGAGATGCTGGAGATTGAGCCTGGGACCTTCTGCATTCTGGGCAGATGTTCTACTACTGAGCCAGGGTCTCAGGTCAAGGTCTTTCCCATCACCTCCTGCCTGGTCCTTTTAACTGGAGATGCTGGAGATTGAGCCTGGGACCTTCTGCATGATGGGCAGATGTTCTACCACTGAGCCAGGGTCTCAGGTCAAGGTCTTTCCCATCACCTCCTGCCTGGTCCTTTTAACTGGAGATGCTGGAGATTGAGCCTGGGACCTTCTGCATTCTGGGCAGATGTTCTACTACTGAGCCAGGGTCTCAGGTCAAGGTCTTTCCCATCACCTCCTGCCTGGTCCTTTTAACTGGAGATGCTGGAGATTGAGCCTGGGACCTTCTGCATTCTGGGCAGATGTTCTACTACTGAGCCAGGGTCTCAGGTCAAGGTCTTTCACATCACCTCCTGCCTGGTCTTTTTAACTGGGGATGCCAGGGATTGAACCTGGGACCTTCTGCAATGCTGGGCAGATGTTCTACCACTGAGCCACAGCCCTTCCCTTGGTCCATCAAGCTCAGTATTGTCTGCTCAAGCTGGCAGTGGCCCTCCAGGGTGTCAGGCAGAGGCCTTTCACATCGCCTACACCCTGGTCCTTTGAACTGGAGACACTGAGAATTGAACCTGCGACCTACTGCATGTAAAGCAGAGTGCCACTGAGCCACGGCCCTTCCCCCAAGTTCCTACCCCCTTCAGAAAACAAATAGTTCTAGAATGTCTTTGTTTGTTTAGACACACAGGAATGCTCTATGTATTTAGCCCCTTCCTTGCATTTCCCAACAAGGCTGTTGGGCGTTACTTGTGTTACAGCATCAAGGATTTAAATAGTTTCTGGCCTCCCCGCCCCCCGGTCTTATGGCCACTCCAGAGTACTGGGACAGTGCCAACTCAGAGCTGCGGCATCCAAAATGCAGTTTTGCCACAAAAGGCCAGGGACATGATAGAGGAGGTAGAGAAGGAAGTCCTTTTCTCCCTTTCTCACGAGACAAGAACTGGTGGGGCACTCCGTGAAATTAACAAGCAGAAGGTTCAGAACAGGTTAAAGGAAGTCCTTAGAACCATAGAGTTGGAAGAGGACAAGACTTCACAGCTTAGAGGGAGCATTGGTGAGGGTTCCAGGTGCACCTCCCTGGGGAGCCTGTTCTGTAATCGTGGGGCTGCCACTGAAGAAGCCCTGTCTCACATACCCACAAAACAAGCTTCCTTGATGGATGCTGGGCAGATGTTCTACCACTGAGCCACAGCCCTTCCCTTGGTCCATCAAGCTCAATATTGTCTGCTCAAGCTGGCAGTGGCCCTCCAGGGTCTCAGGCAGAGGCCTTTCACATCGCCTACGCCCTGGTCCTTTGAACTGGAGACACTGAGAATTGAACCTGCGACCTACTGCATGTAAAGCAGAGGCTCTGCCACTGAGCCACGGCCCTTCCCCCAAGTTCCTACCCCCTTCAGAAAACAAATAGTTCTAGAATGTCTTTGTTTGTTTAGACACACAGGAATGCTCTATGTATTTAGCCCCTTCCTTGCATTTCCCAACAAGGCTGTTGGGCGTTACTTGTGTTACAGCATCAAGGATTTAAATAGTTTCTGGCCTCCCCGCCCCCCGGTCTTATGGCCACTCCAGAGTACTGGGACAGTGCCAACTCAGAGCTGCGGCATCCAAAATGCAGTTTTGCCACAAAAGGCCAGGGACATGATAGAGGAGGTAGAGAAGGAAGTCCTTTTCTCCCTTTCTCACGAGACAAGAACTGGTGGGGCACTCCGTGAAATTAACAAGCAGAAGGTTCAGAACAGGTTAAAGGAAGTCCTTAGAACCATAGAGTTGGAAGAGGACCTCCAGGGCCATCTAGTCCAACCCCCCACACAATGCAGGAAATTCACAAATCACGCCCCCAGTGGCCCCTGTTCCATGCCCAGAAGATGACAAAAAACCTCCAGGATACCCGACCAAACCGGCTTGGAGAACAATGGCTTCCTGACTCCAAAGTGGCAATCAGCATTTCCCTCGGTGTGTATGAAAGGGCCACGAGAACTAAGCACTGAGGCAACCCTCCCTGCCCTCCCTCTCGTGATCTACCTAAGACCACAGCATCAGCATTGCTGTCGGATGGCCTCAGATGGAAAACCTCCCAAGAAGGAGAGCCCACCACCTCCCGAGGAAGACTGTCCCACTGAGGAACTGCTCTGTCAGGAAGTTCGTCCTAATGTTTAGCCAAAAATTCTTTTGACTTAATTTCCACCTGTTGGTTCTGGTCCGACCTTCTGGGGCAACAGAAAACAACTCCACACCCTCCTTCTTCACCCAAGGAGTCATTAACACATGAAATTCACTGCTGCAGGAAGTGGTGGTGGCTAGAAGCATAGGCAGCTTCAAGAGGGGATTGAATGAACATATGGAGCAGAGGTCCATCGGTAGCTCTTAGCCATAATGTATAGGTGGATCACTCTGTCTGGGGCAGTGATGCTCTGTCTTCTTGGTGCTTGGGGGTCAACAGGGGGAGGGCTTCTGGAGTTCTGGCCCCACTGGTGGGCCTCCTAATAGCAACTGGGTTTTGGCCACTGCGGCTACAAGCATGGACAGCTTCAAGAGGGAAATGGATAAACATAGAGAGCAGAGGTCCATCAGTAGCTCTTAGCCACAAGGTATAAATAGGAACTCTCAGTCTGGGGCAAGGGATGCTCTGTATTCTTGGTGTTGGGGGGGGGGCAACAACAGTGGGGGGGCTTCTGGAGTTCTGGCCCCACTGGTGGACCTCCTGATGGCCCCTGGGTTTTGGCCACTGTGTGACACAGAGCGTTGGACTGGATGGGCCCTTGGCCTGATCCAACATGGCTTCTCTTAGGTTCTTATGTCTGGGGCAGTGATGCTCTGCCTTCTTGGTGCTTGGGGGGGGAGAGTGGGGGGGCTTCTGGAGTTCTGGCCCCACTGGTAGACCTCCCGATGGCACCGGGGGTTTGGCCACTGTGTGACACAGAGTGTTGGACTGGATGGGCCATTGGTCTGAACCAGCATGGCTTCTCTTATGTTCTTATGTCTGGGGCAGTGATACTCTGTATTCTTGGTGCTTGAGGGGGGCAACAATGGGGGGACTTCTGGAGTTCTGGCCCCGCTGGTGGACCTCCTGATGGCCCCTGGGTTTTGGCCACTGTGTGACACAGAGTGCTGCACTGGATGGGCCATGGCCTGATCCAACATGGCTTCCCTTACGTTCTCACGGAGAGGCTGAGGCTGGAGAGTCGAGGCAGGCCTCTAAGGAAGCACAACGTTGCAAGCTCACTCACGCAATTCCCCTCCCTCTTCCCCACACAAACCTCCTCCACTTCTGCTCTTTGAAAAGCAGATGTCAGAGGAACAGAATAAAAGAGAAGCTATGTTGGATCCAGTCCAACAGTCTGTGTCACGCAGTGGCCAAAACCACCAGCGGGGCCAGAATGTCTGGGGCAGGGATGCTCTGTCTTTTTGGTGCTTGGGGGGGGCACAGTGGGAGGGCTTCTAGAGTTCTGGCCCCTCTGGTGGACCTCCAGATGGACCCTGGGTTTTGGCCACTGCGTGACACAGAGTGTTGGACTGGATGGGCCACTGGCCTGATCCAACATGGCTTCTCTTACGTTCTTATGCCCGGGGCCAGTGATGCTCTGTCTTCTTGGTGTTTGGGGGGGGGCAAGAGTGGGAGGGCTTCTGGAGTTCTGGCCCTGCTGGTGGGCCTCCTGATGGCACCTGGGTTTTGGCCACTGCGTGACACAGACTGTATGATTGGATCCAACATAGCTTCTCTTTTAGTCCGTTCCTATGACTTCTGCTTTTCAAAGAGCAGAATTGGAGGTTTGTGTGGGGAAGAGGGGAGGGGAATTGCGTGAGTGAGCTCGCAACGTGGTGCTTTCTTAGAGGCCTGCCTCGACTCTCCAGCCTCAGCCTCTCCGTGAAGACCTCCCCCACTGGCCAGCGAAGAGTTAAGTCCCGCAGGCAACACAAGACGCCGTCAGCTCTGGTTCTGGGGCTCTCCAGGGGTGTCCTGGTCACGGGGCCTCAAGGGCACGTCGTTCTCTCCCCCCTCTTTCCTCCGCCGGAAGGCTCGGCAGCAGTATCCCTGCAGATTGTCGGCCAGGGAGGCGTAGAGCAGTGGGTGGATGCAGATGTGGAAGTGGACCACGATCTTCGACAGCTGGTAGAGGGTGTAGATCACATGGGATGCCCCACAGTCCACCTTTTTCTCCATGCGGGTCCAGAGGTTCAGGTTGCGTAGCATGTGGAAAGGCAAGTAGGACAGGGCGTAGAGCGCGACCACCGCACCGACGAGGGCTTTCACTTTGCGCTTCTCCGCCGCTGTGATGTTCTGGTTGCGCAGGACCGTGTAGAGGATGGCCCCGCAGGAGGAGACGGTCAAGAGGAAAGGCAGCATGCAGCCAAAGGCCAATAGGAACAAGCTGTAGGGGCGGTACTGCCCCAGTTGGTCGGCGGCGGCACTTCCGAGGCACTCGGTCTGATTGGTGCCGTTTTTCCGTTCTGTGGTTGAAAAACTGAGCACTGGCGCTGAGATGGCTGCCACCAGTGACCACACCCCCACGCTGAGCAGCTTGGCGTGGCGGGGCTCCAGGCGCCCGT